ACAACACACACACACACACACACACACACACACACACGGGATCCTGTTTTTCTCTCCAGCCGAGCAGAACCTGCTGCTGTTATGAGATACAGTAAAACTCCCATGCGTGTTTCAGCTCTGAGACAAACCCCCCACATACACACTCAGAGCTGCCTCCCACTCCCATGTTCACACACAACACACACTGCTGTTTATAGGAAGACAGGAGGCCAGTCACACAGAGAAGAAAAGAGGAGTGGGCCATAATGGGACACAATCTATAGGGATATTATATTTACACATGCCAATGGTTGCGGGATGTGCAATATAAGTAAGGCTGGTTTTAGTCAACGACGTCATGCTTAATTTCTTTTTCTGCTTTACATTACTATTCCACAAGAGAAGTCCGTCTAACATCATTTACTCCCATTTAAGCGTTCTCGGATACACATGGATTCTTTAGGTGGCTGCTGATGTGAAACGGACGCACAAAGAACAACCAATCACAGTCATTCTTAGAAATGTATCATTTAAAAAAAGCCCCGCTAGTCATCAAGGGTTAGAGAAAGACAGAACATTGTTTGTGCAAAGAAACATGTCCGATTGAAGTGGCAATATTACAGCTGCAAAACAAGTACTTTGTTGTTGTCAACATTCCTGCTGTTTTTATATCGCAATATGCCATTTTTTCACAATCAAGTGCAGCCCTTATTAGTATTATAGTTGATAGAACATGGCTGTATTTCCTACTTACAAAATAGGCAATTGTTATGACCAAAAACATGCATGCTAACAGTAAGATAACACTAACAGTTGAGTTAAATGATTATAGTCATTTTGTAATTTGTAGTTTTGGGAGCTAATTTAGTAGCCTATCACCTTCTTTGTATAGCTAACCTTTTCCTAGTTCAAAAGTATTTCCAACTGTAAGAAAAGTTAAAGCATCAAGATAATGGATATATTCGTAGGGGACATCTTAAAACCTGAAGAGCTGTCCTTTAAACACAACTTTCCTCAGCTAGCTGCACCCTGCTGCAGTTTCCTGTGCTCTGTGATCCAGGACGGTACACAGCAGCCTCCGCGTACCAAACACACAACATGTATCTGACTCACTGAGTGTGGATGTTTCTGAGCTCCTGCTCTGTCTGTCTCTGCAGCTGCTGGAGGTGAAAGGTCAGATCTCCACTCAGAACAGCAAACCTCCACAGTCCTCCTCTCTCTGTGTTCTCCTCACACGCCAAACCCTGAAAACAAAAAAACACAGAACTTATAGAAGTGTGTAACATACTCTGGCAGCCTGGAAGTTAGCCTCATAATTTCATTTCTCAAACGAGAGCATTTTAAAAAAAAAATGTTGTACCTTGAATTTGTTATTTTTGAAGCTACTGAGAATTGAGAAATACTACATTTGATATGTATTAGGTAATTTAATGGGCTGAAATTACCCATTAAACATAATTAATAGACATTAATGGCTGACAGGAAGCACAAATAATTTCACTGATGGATGATTTTGTGTTAGAATTATGTAATTTTGTTAACTTAGCTGGTCATAGTGAGTGCTGCTCATCTGTATATCATGCTAACGTACAGTAAGCTAGCACATTATCATGTTAAATTAGCATGTTAGCATGTTATGATGACTTGATTGTCTTTTTAGTGTCGGCCTGCATTTACAACAACATATTAAAGCCATCGCAGGTTTAAAATAAATATGTTGGGGAGCCTGGGGAGTGGAGTACTATTCCAAGTAAAGATTTTTTTTAAAAGGGCAGAAATGTAGAAGAAAAACTAGAATATTCTGTGAGAATAACATCACTTTTTTATGAGAAGAAAACATCTGAAAATGGTGGGAACCAATATACCAATGGTGCTAATAAGAGCCCTAATGGACATACTTCTATTGAGCCCACAAATATCCTTTTCTTTAGTGGACATTTCTTAATGAAAACACACATAATCACGAGGGAAAAACACTTACTAGAAGTAGCCTACGATTAAGAGAAATTGAGGATTGTTTAGCGTTTTGAATCAATGTGTTTACCTCTGAGACCTAGACCTGTGTCTCATGATATATTGAAGTCATTTTGAGAAGTAGACAAACAGTCTCATCTAGTTGGTTCCCTGCACTGTTTCATACTGGATCTCAGAGTGGGGGAAAGTGTGCTGACGGGAAAAATACAGACAAAGTTTCCTTGAGTCATAAATCATATCATATTTAGCCCAGAGGGTCTCTGATATGAGAACACTTACTACTCTGCTGTCTCAATTTGTAAGACATAGCAACATGAGTTAAATAGTGATGAATCACCGGATGAAGGAGCTCAGAGTGAGGGGAGAAAGACAGACAGACAGGCAGGCAGACAGACAGACAGACAGACAGACAGGCAGACAGACAGAAGACAGAATACAGACAGACAGGCAGACAGACAGAAGACAGACAGACAGGCAGACAGACAGACACACAGACAGACAGACAGACAGACAGGCAGGTAGACAGACAGGCAGACAGACAGACAGACAGACAGACAGACAGGCATGCAGACAGGCAGGTAGACAGGCAGGACAGACAGGCAGGTAGACAGACAGGCAGACAGACAGACAGACAGACAGACAGACAGGCATGCAGACAGGCAGGTAGACAGGCAGGCAGACAGACAGACAGACAGACAGACAGACAAACAGACAGGCATGCAGACAGACAGAAGACAGACAGACAGACAGACAGACAGACAGACAGACAGACAGACAGACAGACAGACAGACAGACAGACAGACAGACAGGCAGGCAGACAGACAGACAGACAGACAGACAGACAGACAGACAGACAGGCAGACAGACAGACAGACAGGCAGAGAGGCATACAGACAGACAAGCAGACAGA